TTACACCACCATGCCAAGAAAACTCCACGATAGGTTCTCCTTAGGGTCGCCATAAGTTGGAAACAGCTCAAAGGTACACAACAACAACAAACCACATTTTAGACTATAGGTCCCTTGGGGCAAGAAACTCTATTTTCTTTGTTTCTTCTGCCACTTGGGCACAGAAAGATCTCTACCAAGAACGAACTGCAGAAATAGAACAGTTCTGTGAAGGCAGTTAAATAAAGAAGACAAGAAGTCATAACTCTGCTGGATGATACCAAAAACTATCATTGAGTCAGCGCAGTGGTCAACCAGGTGGCCCAAGGGAAAGGCCACAAGCAGGGCAGATGGGCAACTGCACCATCCTAGTTGTGCTTTCCAACAACTGGCATTGAGTGGCACAGAGGCTCCAATTTTGAAAGGAGCTCATCCAGTCACAGACCTAGATGGAACCTGAAGGCCATTTAGCTCAACCTCCTACTGATGTAGGACTCCACAGATCAGGCATCCCCTGAGAGGTGGCCATGTTGTTGTTGTTCAAGTTGACTTTTAAGTTATGGCGACCCCCTGAATGAGAGACCTCCAAGTCACCTTGTTATCAACAGCTATGCTTAGGCATTGCAAACTCAAGGCCATAGCTTCCTTGACTGAGTCTATCCACCTGTAATGTGGTCAACCTCCTTTCCTACTGTCTTCTATCTTACCAAACAAACTCTTGCCTTCTCATGATGTATCTGAAGTATGTCAGTCTCAGTTTAGTCATCTTGGCTTCTAGAGAGAATTCAGGCTTGATTTGCTCTAAGACCCATTTCTTTGTCCATTTGACAGTCCACAGAGATCTTCTCCAACACCACATTGCAAATGAGGAGTTGAGTCCCTCCCTATCCACTTTCCTAAATGGCCAGCTTTTACAACCATCCATAGAAACCAGAAATACAGTGGCATGGACAATCCTGATTTTGGTATTCAATTATATATCTTTACATTTGAGGATCTTGCCTAGGTCCTTCATAGCTGCCCTTCCAAGTCCTAGCCTTCTTCAAACAACCTTAATAATAGTTGTTGCTGTGTGTCGTCAAGCTGCTTCTGACTTATGGTGACACTATCATGGGCTTTTCATGGCAAGATTTGTTCAGAGGAGGTTTGCCGTTGCCTTCCTCTGAGGCTGAGAGCATGTGACTTACCCAAGGTCACCTACTGAATTTCATGGCCAAGCTAAAAATTGGACCCTGGTCTCCAGGGTCATAGTCCAACACTCAAACCACTACACTACGCTGTCCCTCTCGCTTAATAATCATACAACTTCAAAAATACTATTGTTGTGTGCCTTCAAGTCATTTCTGACTTATGGCGACCCTAAGCCAAACCTATCACAGAGTTTCCTTGGCAAGATTTGTTCAGAGGGGATTTGCCTTCCTTTGAAGCTGAGAGAGTGTCATTTGCCCAAGTGGGTTTCCATGGCCAAGCAGGGACTCAAACCCAGCTCTCCAAAGTTGTAATCCAATGATCAAACCACTACACCATGCTGGTTCATACAACCTTTAAAAATCATATACTGGATTTGAACATTGATCACCATAGCCTGGTATTGTCAATACTGACAAGAAAGATACTTTCATGGGTTTTTTAGAGGGAAATATTTCCCTCCCTCCCTGGAGAAGTTGGGAATTAAACCTGGGACTTCATCAGCCAAGCAGGTACTAGCCATCTTGACTAGTAGCTCTTGATTTGGGTTATTGGTCCATAAGCTGTGGTCCAAATGACCCACCCAGCCCTCTTCCAGACTCTTTGAACTCCATAAAAGTGGTTTTAGATTTTGCATACAACACAGACAACAGGTGTAAAGGCCCGGGGCTCCACACCTGTCCCAGAAGGACAGGTGTAAGCAGAACCGATTTGATCACATAGGTAAACTAGGTAGTCGCTTAGGGTAGTGCAATTTCAGAGATCCCTGGGCCCAAGAGTAACACCTGAGATTCTGGACTTCCAGTTGCTTCCACAATGAATGGTCAAGGTCCCTGCAATTCTGCCAGAATCCTTTTGTTATGCTATAGGTGGCTTCTAGGGCTCACTCCTTCTTTGCGCTGAGCCTACACCTACATCCCTGCAAAGCTTGGAAAAGGAACTTTGGGAGACTGCAACTCCCAGAAATCTAGGAATTGCAGTCTCCCAAAGTCTCTTTTCCAGCTTTCGCAACTATCCAGAGCAGCAAAACCAACCGATACAACGGAAAACACTTTGCGCCAGGGCCAATATCAGGCAGCTTATGTTTTTTCAGCCATTTTCCTCCCAGCACCCCAAAAAGATGAAGGGACTCCTTTTAATCGCTTTAAAAGGGGCAAAGCAGAGCCAAGCTGCAGGCAGCCAGAGCCTTAGAACAACAGACCGAAATTCTGCCCCAAAAGGAGACAATTCAAAGCTGTGTATAAATCATAACGTCACTGAATATTTTCACAGAACGTAGCTCTTTATGTGCCAATGATGAAGACAGCCAAGGAACTACGCTGGCCAAGGCAACAGCCAAAACTAGAAAGCCGTTTCAGGCATTGCCTTCTAACTTCCACAATGTTTTACTTAGCAGCACCCACACTATTACAAACTTTCCATTGCATTCATAAGGACTAGGAACTTGGATTTTTATCTGTAGGGTGGGAAGGGGACCATACGGCATTGAAACCTTTATGTGCATTGAACTTGTTAGTTCTGGCCCACGAAGTGGAAGTTATCTTAGGATGCCAACTGAGGATTTAAATGTCCAGAAGTAGCATGCATTGTGTTGTGTTGTAACAGATCACACAATATCCTCCTGCACACAGCACACAGGGGCACTTTTCAGATGGTATGATAAATCTGGGTTAAGGAAGTGGGACTTGCAGAGAAACCATCTTACAATTTAAACCCTGCCACAATCGTAGGGTATTATTGGCAGTGTGAAGTCTATTACGCTGTGTGTGTGTGTGTGTGTGTAATTGTGTGTATTACATGCATGTGTGGCGTCATAATGGTGGTTTCTAGCTTTCCTAGGGAAGGTAGCTATATTGGTTGTACATCAGGGGCTAATGTGTGCGCAGCCCAAGGGAAGGAGCTATCAAGGGGAAGATGTCATGGTAAAATGTCAGCTCTCTGTGTGTGTTGCTGTAGTAGTATTGTGTGGCCTTCCCCAGCTGGGCATCCTCCAGACTACAACTTCCATCACCCAGAGTTGGCTGTGGATGGTGAGATTGTGGGATACATAGTCTGGTGCCTCTGAATGGTACCACAAAACGTTGGTGGTGTCATATGATAGAGTCAAGGCAAATGTGTACCTGCCAGTTTTGTGGCAGCTGCATTGCACTCAACTGTTGTGTCAGCTGGAATGGGAGAATCTTTTCTCTCTCTTTGTGTATGTGTGTGTGTGTGAACTTTGGTTTGTGTCTGTTCAGACAATGTTCCTCTCGTTGAACAATGCTGAAGCAGAACACAGCAAAATGGGATCAGAACTGAGTTCCAGGAAGCTCTTTTTCTTTGGAATACAACTCCCAGAACCCCCCCAGGCCATGTAGTCCACAAAAGGGACTTTATCTAAAGCTCTGGATCAATGCTCCATCTAGGCGAGGGATGAAGACTCCAACTCCTATCACTCCTCAGCCAAAACGTGGGGACAGTGGGAGCTGTAGTCCAACAAAATCTGGCCGGCTCTGGCTTTCCCATCCCTGAGACTTGGCTGGTATCACTTATAGCACCGGTCAGCCAAATAACACCTGGGCATTGCAAGCAGCGACATCCCTCGCCGGTATCTGGAATTCAGGTATAGAATGCCCCTGCATAGGAAGGTTCGATTCAGCTGCCATGGCTCACAGCTATCAATGAATCTCTCCTCCTTCCTGACTTTTGTCTAATCCCCTTTTTAAAGCCATCTAAAGTCTGTGACTCAGGGATCTTGAGCTATTGGATTCCATAAGTTAATTATGTGCTGCGTGGAAAAAAAAAAGTCCAACCATGGTGCTAGTTTGTACAGCGTCTGTTTGTAGATTGTGCCTCATTGATTTATTGACTAGCGTGGGATTTTTCTACACTTCCTTGAGCTTTGTTTATAAAGTCAGCCTCAGAACAAATGCTCTCTTCCAGGGCAGAGCTCTGGAGTATGTCCTAACAAAAAGAGGGCCTCTAACCATATACAGAGTGCCCTATCGAGTGTGTTTAGAAGATTTGTAGGTCATGCTGCAGTTAAATCGGCAGGGGGACAGATGAGAAAATAAGAAAATCAGTATTAATGTTCTACCACATAGCCACAGCTAATCCGTAACTAATTTTTGATGGGATGCAGGTTATTCATGAGAGCCAGTGTGGTGTAGTGGTTTGCGTGTTGGTCTATGACCCTGGAGAGCAGGGTTCAAATTCCCCGCTCAGCCATGGAAACCCACTGGGTGGTCTTGGGCAAGTCACACTCTCTCAGCCTCAGAGAATGGCAATGGCAAACACCCTCTGAAGAAGAATTCCAATAAAACCCATGATAGGGTCACCATAAGTTGGCAATGACTCGAAGACACACGACAACAAGGTTGTTCGGAGGTAGGAATAATGACCCTGCAGTCAAAATGGTAGAGGAAGGTCTGAGGCCCCTCAGTTCAAGCCAAAACCCTGATAAAACATTTTTGTATATTGCAAGACCTTAGGAAAATTCCTCCTTTACTCTGACCCCTCCCGTATGTAAAATGGGGGGGAAGCAGCCCACCTCACAGGCTTGTTGTAAAAAAAAGTCATTTAAAAAGAAAAAGGCCAGCTGTAATGCACCTTGCAAATGAAAAGTGTGTTATTATTGATAAACAGCAGTATGTTGGTGCCAACCATTTCTATCTGGGACACATATCAGTTGGGGCAACTGATGTGCCGTTTCCAATGTGCCCATGCCCTCGCTGCAAAGTTGGTGCCCGATCAGCCTTTGTACTGAAGCAACGGTCCGTGTTGTTGTTGTGCAATTGTGGGAGAGGACGACACACTGTCTCCTTGGTTACACCTTTGTGTGGGCTTGGCAGGAAGCGTCGGCGCTGTCTCCCAATTTATCCATTCATTTTTCCCCTCTGTGCCAACTTGGGCAAGTGTGCTCCTCTCTGGCCTTTCTACCAGCTTCTCACTCCTTCCTGCAGCTGCATATGGGAACTTCAGCAAATCTAGGTTATGACCCTTTTTAAAGAAGATTCAGAAGAGTCACATCTCTACACAACACCAAAAGATGCTTCCGTGGCTTGTCACATTTCAAACACAACCTGAAACTCAGGCGCAAGAGGGATCTTGAGGCTATAATGGAGCAAGTTTCAGGGCCAATTGTCTGCCCTAGAATCCTCTAGGGATCACAAAGACTTCCCCAAATACCAAAAAGCAACACAAAATTGGAAATGGCAGGTGGAAATGATTTTAAAACACAGGTATTTGTTTGATGTTTTGTGAATGTGTGTAAATGTGCCTGTCGACTTATGGTGACTCCATGAATTTCACAGGGTTTCCTTAGAGAAGGACTTCTCAGAGGTGGTTTTGCCTGTTCCTTCATCTGATGTAGTGGTTTGAGCATTGGAGCATTCAAATCCCAACTCAGCCATGCAACCCCCCTGGGTGACCCTGGGCAAGTCACACTCTCTCAGCCTCAGAGGATGGCAATGGAAAACCCACTGTGAAGAAACTTGCCATGAAAATCCAATGACAGCTTTACCTTAGGATAACCGTAAGTCGGAAATGACTTGAAGGTACACAACATAACATCTTCTGAAATATAGCCTCCGGCATCTGGCATTGATTGGCGGTCTCCCATCTAAGTACTAACCAGGGCTGACCTGGCTTAGCTTCCAAGATCAGATGGGATCTGGTGCCTTAAGGGTATTTAGGCAAGACTGATGTTAAATAGTACTACCTATTTAAAAGGTGAGCTGTTGCTCTTGGGAGCTTCCAGGATAAGAGGGTCTCCCTTTTTTTTCTGGAGAAGGGCAGATCTAGAATCATAGAGTTGGAAGAGACCTCTAGGGCCATATAGTCCAACCCCATTCTGCCATGCAGGAACTCACAATCAAAGCATCCATTGTTCCAGGTCCTATTCCCCAGAGCAGCAAAAAACAAGCTTGCTCCATTCTCATTATGACACAATATGAATATCTGGGAGAGTGGAGAGGCCAAGGGCCACATAAACCGCCCTGGAGGGCCACATGTTGGGTTGCCCACTCTGGTTAAGCAAGACCCATGTGGTGTTGGGTATAACCCTAATACAAACCTCCTACAGCAGCCTCCCACAACTCTGTCTCCGCCAGAGGTATAAGGATACAGCTGTCATCATCCTTAGCCAAGATGGCCCCACTGTCTGGGGACAATAGGAGTTGTAGTCCTACACAACTTGAGGACAGGCAGAGGAGGAAAGCGTTGGGTTACACAGTCACCAATCCTGCTTCTCCTCCCACTACATTTTCATGCCTGCCTTTGACAAAATACAGCTAATATTCCTTAAACCATTTCCAGAAATACCAGAACATTCAGACACAAAGCTCAGAGGTAGGAGAGAGGCATGGATCAAGAATGGAAATGACATTTCTCACCCATTTGAGCAAAGCTGGCTAAATTTTCAGAAACCTTTTAAAACCTACCTATGACTGGATACAGACATTTTGAAAAATACCTGTTGACAGATTTATCTTCCATATCAGTTTAACAAACCCAGCACTTTTTCTTTACCCTCCCATCTCTCCCACGAGATACAAAATTTTACTAACAAATCCAGCCTGAGAGAATCTCACACAGACAAACATTTGTTTCAGCCGAACTTTGACTTCAGAGAGTCAATACAAGTCCTACCTCTGCGTCATCGTCGCGAGCAAATACACTCAAGGTATCTCCTGCCCAGCCTCAGTCTCCCCATCTACAAGATGGGAACAACTATAACCCATCTTACAGAAAGTCACCAAACCAAACACCATTTCAGAATCATAAAAGCACTTCTGCGTGTCATTTTTCTTAAAATAAAACAAAAACAGATCACAAAAATGCAGACAGAAATCCAACCAGGACTGAGAATACATTGATCCCAGGACCTGGATACATGCACTAAGAACACTAAAAGAAAAAGGAAAACCCACAGAGCTCCTGAGCATGTAAGAAGTATATTTGGCTCACCAACAATGCACCCATAATTTCTTGGAGGGAGAGGAGAAGCCATACAGACCAGGGGGTTCAACTTTTACCCTCGTATAAATCCTGAACCAACATATATACAGAATAAAAGCATACATGACAACACTCCTGGATCCTTTCCTCTTCCTTTTGTCCATGAGAACATCTGGAAAACCTAAGAGTCAACCTTTCCTACTATTTTTTTCCTAATTCTCCCCCTTGCACCCCCAAATCTGGAGTCCCTAGATTTACACCAGACTGATTCAATATTTTACTTTTTAGCTAATATTCTGATCTGGTTTTCTCCTCCCCATCAAGCTAACTCTAAAGGCAGCGGATAAAGGTAGAGAGGTAAGCAAGCCAGACAGAGCGAGCAAAGGCGGGTGAGCAAAGGAAGGAGGGAGGGAGGGAAGAAAGATTGTAAAATCAATTAAATGAGTTGCTAACGGAGCATCGTGTCGACAATCTGTCGCTGAGTGGAAAATATGAGCTGCCCAAATACACTCCTGCCTTCCACACCTCCAAGAGGCAGCCTTCCCAGGGCCCTTCCATCATGCCGTCTGCCGCCTGTCAGAGGTCTGAAGGAAGGCAGGAGGGGAGATCCAGGCCAAGGGGGTCAGGAGGCAGGTGAGGGGCAGAAAGGGATGGAGATGACGGGGAGAAAAAGAGGGAAGGAAGGAAAGAAAGAAAGAAAGAAAGAAAGAAAGAAAGAAAGAAAGAAAGAAAGAAAGAAAGAAAGAAAGAAAGAAAGAAGGAGAGAGAGAGAAGACTGAGAGGTGTTTTGAGGTGGCCTAGACTGGGCAGATGGATGGCAGAGTCAAGGAACTGAAGGATGGAGAGAAAGAACAGCCAGAGAGAGAAAGAAAATGACACAAGAGGCTGTCAGAGAAAGGGAAAGAGGTGGAGAGGAAGAAAGGGATGTGGCTGAGAAAGGAGAAGGGAAAAAAAGGATGAGCAAAAAGGAAAGAGAAAGACAAGGAGGCAATGAGGGATGGCTGCAGGGCTGGGAGGAAAGGGATGGAGGAGGGATGCTAACCCAGGTGAGGGGGGAAAGCCCAGGGGTCCTGAAGGAAGGAGAACCAGTGGGAGACTCTCCATCCTTTACTCCATCCTTCCTATTCTTTACACCCCTTTCCTTCCCTTCTTTGATGCCCCAAAGGGAGGAAGGGAGGAAAAGAAAGGGGTGTAAAGAATAGGAAGGATGGAGTAAAGGCTTGCCTGCCCCCCCCCC